ATGTATCAATGTACAGTAGCATGTTCTGTAGAAATGCAACAGCTCATATTGCTTGACAGTGGTGTAACATCATAACAATGACATGGAGAAAAAGAAAGAGATTTCCTCATACCTCATACTGATGCTAAAACTGTGATTCGGATCTATGATGAGCTTCAAAAGTACAAGAACAAATACATTTATTGCTGCTTTCCAATGTGTCTTAGACTGTGGCTGGATGATGCTATATAGTATACAAGAGAGAGGTGTTTTGTGCTACAACAACAACAGGGATGGAGGAGGATTGCAGTGCTGTCAAGGCGAGGTACAGTGAGGACACTGGTGAGGATGCAGAACATTGCAGGGTCGATTGACAATTGTTTTTAATTGCATCAAAGAAACAACACAAATCCTCTCACGTAAGACTGTCAGTAAATGTTGACTTTTAACAGACACTATATAAACCAGATAGCTAACCCACAATGGATTTAAATGTCCACTTAAGAGCCATAAAACAATGCAAATGTAAGGCTTTGAGTGAATGCTTAGTAGCAATACTGCTAACTGTGCTGTGCTATTCTTATCTGCTGCGTTGTGTTTGTGCTCAGAAAGTCATTTGTTTGTAAAGACTGTAATGCAGTGCTGGCTGCAAAAAAGCCTCTAGGCTCAAAGCTATCCTGTTCGAGGAAGTGCAGGACCTTTTATGTTGACATACGGTCCAATGATATAATGGCTCTCTGACTGCACAAGCTGAGGCCCCACTAACTCTTCTGCAAAACTTCCTGGCATAGGAAGTGTTGGTACCACATTCACTACAGTGCTGACAAATCTTATTTCCTGTGGATGAGGCAGTAGGCTGCTCTAAATTCATATTTTCTTGTCAACCTCTTCTAGGTATACGATTGTTAAGCAAATTTTCTGCGCAAAGCTACGTTGCAGTTTTGCCAACATTTTTATATAAACGTGTAATATTCTCTGATTTAATTTGATTTATCCTGCATTTGTTTTTGTCTTTATAGGTCATTTAAGCTTTTATTTTGTAGTTTTATACTCTCTTGATGGTCCTATCCTATTATGTTGTTCTTGGCATCAGATGTTTCCTTTTCCTTTTCTTTGCCCCTTTCTCTCTCTTTCCACCTCCCTACTCTCTCTCACTCCACCTCTTCCTCATTCTCCCCTCCCCTTTACTATCCCCCCTGACGCCCCCTCTGAATCCCCTCCTCTCTGCATCTCTGTTATACCCCCCCAACGCCCCCACACACCCCTTTCTCACTACCCTGCATCTCCGTTAT